AATATTAACAAATCCATAAACACTGATGCCAATATCATTTTTCCCGAGGAAACGCGTTCAACTAGTTTTATTGAGGATTCAAGTACATTCACTGCCATAATGACCATCTCAAAATTAGAATCAGTATTCCACAACGGGAAGACGATTTCATTTATGATATAGTTCAAAGCTGCATATGACAATTTAAAAAGGAATGTTTGAGTCATAAATAAAAAGTCGTGAGGATTACAAATGAAAGATTTCATACTTTCAGTCATCGAGTCTTTTGTATTGATAGATTGCCCAGATTGCTTAAATAAAGTAATTGGATCAGGAGCCCAATCAAGCAAAGTGCACAATATATCGTTTGCTCTTGCTCTTATATTTCTATCTGGATCAGTTAACAAAACATTCAACTTTCTCAACTGAAATAAATTAGAATATTATTATTCATTAATAATAATATTTTAACAAATAATAAAGACAAGAATTTTATTCTTTTTTTAAAAAAAGAATAAACTACCAGATTTCCTTTTTTAAAAAATCCATTGGCATTATCTGTCCGTGAATCCGCCAATATCCAAATCAATTGCAAAGTTGCTAATCGATGACTCATATCAGCAGATGAATCGAACATAAGTTGATTTATTTTATTGAACAAATCAAGTGAAGTTATCAAGAAGCTCATAAGGGCATCCTGTGCTTCAAGGCTTTTCCGTTTCTTTGTTGAAGTAAGTAAAGAACAATTATTGATTATTGATAAAAGAAGCTTAGATGCTGCATCAGTAACCTTTAATCAATAGATCAAAAAATCGTTAAAGTTATTTTCTTATGTATTACAATTTACTTAGAAAATTAACATACATAAGCACTAGAATCGTCAAAGCATTTTGCAACGATTTGATCGCTTTTATTTGATTCGAGAAACCTTTAATTAATTCCGCATTAGATTGTTAAAAAAAAAAAATTCGTATGAAAAAGTTCTTATTATTAAATAGGAAGGTATACCATCTAGCGCCGAGGTTATAAGTTACTAATTGTTCTAATGCTTCGATGCATGCAAATCGCATTAAAGCTTCTTCATCGAATGCATGATCCAGAATAAAATCAATTATGTCGATATAATTTGTAAAAATTTGAGAAATCAACAGAGCATTGTGCCTATCATCATTGGCCAAAAGACGCGCAAGAAAGCGAATTGACAAAGCCATGATCCTGTGATCTTGTACGCATTCGTGCGCTACATCCTTCTCATTATTATGATCAACTTGCGTGATGCAAGCCTAAATCGAAGTTTGTAACGCATTATTATTCAACAAAAACATGATTAGAATTTTATCAAAAAAAATTAACGTTACAGACACGTATTATGTCCAGCACGTTCCATTCAAGAAATTTAACCACAGTTTCTGGGCCCTGTGACGCGTAATTTGATAGATACGATAATATTTTTTCATGGATCGTGTCGTCTATGATGTTTTTAGACATTTGTGGCAAGGATTTCATGATATTTTGTAGTTTCTCCATTTTGAAAGTATAAAGAAAAAGGATAACCGCTTATTCGAATATTTCTACTATATGTGCATGAAATGATCTGCAAATTTGATCACGTTTTTTTCCAAATGATTTTGATTGATTTTTTTTTTTTTAAAAAAAAGAAATCAATCAGTCCTCTTTACGCTTTAAGCCTTCTTCTTTGTAGGATTATTAAAAAAAGTTAGCTAAGATGGGTCGTATGCATGCTCCCGGTAAAGGTATTTCGAGCTCTGCTCTTCCATACCGACGTACTCCACCGTCTTGGTTAAAAACTACGCCTGAAGATGTGTGCGAACAAATTTTCAAGTTTGCAAAAAAAGGTATGACACCTTCACAAATTGGTGTGACGCTTAGAGATTCTCATGGTATCGCACAAGTGAAGAACGTAACAGGGAATAAGATTCTCCGTATCTTGAAGTCAAATGGTAAGATAACAAATTTAGAAAAAATTGTAAAAAAAAAAAAGCAAATTGATTTTTCCATCCATCCAATTAATTCTTAATTTCTCTGTTATTTGAGGTTTGGCACCTGAAATTCCTGAAGATTTATATCATTTAATCAAGAAAGCTGTTGCTGTTCGAAAACATTTGGAACGTAATCGTAAAGATAAAGATTCCAAATTTCGATTAATTTTGATTGAATCCAGAATTCATCGTCTTTCCAGATATTATAAGACAGCTGGTCAATTAGCTCCAAATTGGAAATAGTATCCTTTACGTTCAGGAATATATATATATATATATATATTTTTTGTTTCTTCTGGTTTTTAATTATATTATTATTGGACGTTTATGCAAGGTGTATTTGATTTTCGTAAAACAAGGAATATTTTTCTCTTTTTCTCTTGCTTTTACTGATCAGCCTCATCATCGTCCACCTTAACTCAAACCTTCACTTGCTTTACAGCGAATCATCAACCGCAAGCGCCTTAGTTGCTTAAAATATTTATATGTTTAGAAATTTTTATTTTTTGTTCCTTTGAAAAGAATCAAAAATCAAAATGGAAATTTTTTGTTGAAATTAATATATTCATATTTGCATTGAAACTAAAATTTTATTATTGTCAAGTGTTTAATTGAGAGTTTGCAACAGCCGTGCATTTTGTGAATATTTGGCATTTTTTTTTATTTTATTTAACATGAGATATGATGAAAAAGCAAACAATGCTGAAATTAATGAAGTTACATGTATTCACACTATCTGATCTCAGTTTGTTTAAATAATTACAAAAATTGCTAAATTGAAGCGAAATTCAAGGTTAAAAATACCTAATTATAAATCTTTATAGGTATTTTATTTTTAAATTTAATAAAAATAAAACAACATATCTGAAATAATATTTAATTTAATTATGATATTTTTATATGTAGTCAATTTTAAACGCGTTTAAATTCTGCCTGTACTTCCGATATTCCAACGGGGATTCCACCCTTTGAATTTGAAGTATTCGATTAGGATTCAACGTAAATTATAAAAGTGAGATGTAATTATTAAAAAAAAAAGGAACCTTTTCATCATATTCAGCCCAATCACCATCTGTAAGATCAATATCTTCGAATTTGGTTCCTGAATCAGTACCAACAGCTTTAAAACCAGTCTAAAAAATTAAAAAAAAACGCGTGTGAAAACACGTGATCGATTTTCCAAAAAAAAAATTCTTAGGATACTTGCTCTTGGTTCAAAATCAATAAATTCCAATCCTCTACATTCAATAGTTGTCATTTGAGCAAACTTTCCACTATTCTCAATTGTATAAGGCGTAACCGGAGACGTGTCAAATTCTATTGGAATCATTGAAAAAAAATAAAGATTGAATTGTATTTATTATTATTATTACAAAAAAAAAATAATGCGAGAAATAGCTTACGTGCCGAACTTTCGCGTTTGCAGAATTTACAACGCATTACAAGATTCGCACTTCCTCTCGACCCTGGTATCTCATTTTGATCCTACATAAAATATCAAAACTAGAACTGTAAAGGAAAAAGAATAATGTAAATACTTTGGAAGGTAACAAACGAAAAACTTACAAGTCGGTTTACTCCAACCCAGTTGTTATTGACTTCATTACAACTCGTACATTTTACCTTAACAAAAATTACGCGAAAAGGTTTAATATAGTGATGTGTACATATAAGAAGAAAATGACGAGTTAAAGAAGAAAGGTGTAAAAACCTTAAAATGCCATTCATATTCGTCATAACCTGGAACAACGTCGGTTACGTTTTCAAGTTCCGCTTTAAAAAGAAGTGCGAGTTTCTACGCGATAAAATAAAATAAAATAAATATCTATCTATAAATTTTTTTTTTAATTAAAAAAAAAAAGGTTATAAGGTTATACGCACCACCATAATTTTTGAATTTTATGAAAAAAAAGGAGTTGGACCGATTGTGTCCATATATATCATATCATACCAACCTCGGATAATCTGTTAATCTTTTTTCTCTTCTGAACATGCGAAAAAATAACCAAGCGATAAATTTATTGAACACTTTTTCTCCGTTTATTCTTAAACGAATAGGTGTTACTTCTTCGCTAACCCGTTTAAAAAGGCCTCACCTTTCAAAATTTACTCCAGGGTTTACGTTACGTGCTTCATTGTCTTCATCAACCCCTCCTCCTCCTCCTCCTCCACCAGAAGATCCTCTACCCACGCCACCACCTGGTTTCAATTCCTCAGTTGATACTTTGCCACATCCTAAGAAAACCGGTTCCTCGATAATTTTTCGTGTGTAGCTTTTTACCTTTATGTCATGCGTTAAATTCAAAAGGTCAAATTAGGATATAATGGTGTATGTATTAACAGCTTGGCTCCATGGTAATCAACCGTCACGAATAAAACAATACCCATATCCAACCGCAAACTTCTGGTCTTCTATATTATCGTTGTTGCCAATATTTTTTCAACACCAATTATGCAAGTGGTTGACGGCGAGAATTTTAACGGGCGCGGTATCTGCTGTATACTTTCCGGACCATTTTCTGCAAGGAGGTATATGTCTTTTTATTTGTTTTTTTTAAAGAATTGTTAATTAAAAAAAAATATCATAAATTTTTTTTTTTTTTAAATTCTAGCCTCGTTAGCTGCACGTCAAGTATGCGCGGCTCTTTCCACTCCAGTTGATCGTGATGACTTACAATTGATGTTGACTACAAGGTTTTACGATAGAATGATCAATGAACTTGATAAATTAGAATCAGAGAAATCTAAAGTGACCATTGATATACCCAAAATTTATGGAATAAATGTTCGTGATATTTGGGTTACGCTTGGGCCTAGAAAAGCATATTCTGAAAAAAATCGGGAATATCGCATACTAAAATGGATGACATTGACATTGGCTATTCGTAAGACTCAAGATGATAACATGAATGAATCAAGGGCAAAAATTGCTAAAAGCTTTAGTGATGGGATTAATTTTAAAGTGGACGTGGAAATAGACGCTGAGGTCACATACACATTAAAATCTGCAAAAGATGAGATTTTGATAGACGATCGTTCAAGAAGGCCGGTATTGTTCCGATTTGAAAGCCCTCATTTTGAACCTACTGATCGAATATATTACAAAGTATCTTCTGATCTTATTGAAGAACCACCAGTAAATTGGAATTGGCGTGTCGGAGATATTGATTATTTGTTGGAAATTGAAGATTTAGAAAATGAAGCAAGGGAAGAGAAAGATTTAAGTCAATTGGAAGACTGATCCTCATTAATATTATCAGGGAAAAGGGCTGGATTACTTTAAGACGAAGCGAAGTTTGCTTTTTGGAAATTCCAGCAAAGTTTAGAATATCTCGATTCATGACTTATAGCTTTGCTTTATTTTGGTGTATTTTAAATGTATATTTTGGATATGTTTAAGATTCTAACCAATCAAGAAGTTGTGGTGTATAATAGGTCAAGACTAGGGTTGCGCCTAAAAAAAAGGGGGAGCGAGATTTAATAAAATGTTAAGAAAACACAATAAAAAAAAAACAAAAATTTTTATACCTGCTCTCAAAAATCCTTCCATGCTCTCTAGCACGGCAACACGAAGATCGAACACCTTTGCTTCAGCAGCTCTCCATATCATTGCGAATTCGCCAGACACTTGATAAACAGCTATTGGAACGTCAGGACTAAGTTCTTTGGCGTCACGCAAGATGTCTAAATAGGGCATCCCAGGTTTAACCATGATGATGTCTGCGCCTTCCGCAAGGTCACGTGTCTAAATTTGAAACGTGATTAATAATTGCTCGTTCAATAAATGAAGTGAAAAGTTTACGTACAATGGCACGACGTGCTAAACCACGCGCGTTTGGTGGAAGCTGATAACATTTGCGATCACCGAAGGAAGGAGCCGAATTTGCGGCATCCCTAAAAACATACGTTTAATAAAATTTGATCAATTCGTTGTAGCTTTTTAAATTTCTAAATGCAATAAATCTCTTATGAATTCACCTGAATGGACCATAAAAACTGCTAGCAAATTTCGCACTATAACTCATTAAATTGACTTTGTTAGCAAGGCCTTCCCGAATTAAAGATTCTTTAATCGCTTTAATTCGACCGTCCATCATATCAGACGGTGCCACACAATGTGCTCCTACATAATTTCATCATTTGATTGTTATTTTTACACGTGTAAATCCGAATCAAAAATCAAAGGAACCGACCAGCTTTGGCATAGTTCGTCGCTACTTCAGCTAAACGTTTCACACTGGCTTCGTTATTGATGGTATTATCCTCATTTAAATATCCTATTGACAAAAAAAAAAAAATTTCACAAATGAGATTTGAATACTGAACAGTGTGGCGTAGTAATGAAATATTTACCGCAATGACCATGTGAAGTAAATTCACAAAGACAAACATCACATGCAATGAATAATTGTGGAAATTTAGAACGAATAAGTTTAATCGATAATATTACAGGACCATTTGGATCATCCGCTTTCGATCCATATGGATCTTTCTCACAAGTTGGAACACCAAATATGAGAACCGAAGATAACCCTTTTTCAACAAGAGGTAAAAGAAATCCTTCTAACTTATCAATTCCCCACCTAAGGGGAAAAAAAAAAAAAAAATTTCATCAAAATTCATCCCAACCCTGAATTCAGAGAAAATTCACTACCAATAAATACCTCTTTTGACCGGGTAAGGAGGAAATTTCTTCTTCGGCATTTGATTCATCTGTGACAAAAATGGGATACATTAATGAAGATTTACGTAAAGTACGTTCAGAATGCCATTGTCGTGATAGAGGATGATTGTATCCTCCCTGAAGAATTGATGAAATATCTGACATTTGCTAGAGTAGCTTAATGATGTAATTTCGGATAACTGCTGAAAAGGTGGCGTAAAAACTTAACATGATACACCTGATATTTATAAGATCGTCCAAGAAATTTCCCGCATTAGATCAAATAAAAGAAATGCAATCTCCTTTTGACCAACAATCATTTTTTCTTGCAAATATTCCTCCGTTAGATTTGAACGTGTCAGATACTAATACAATGTCAAAATCAAAAAATATGGCGCCTCGGAATGGTCACTCTTCCCCTTCTATTAACACAGCTTCAACAGGATCTACTACACAACCATTATCACCTCCACCTGTTGATTTTTTATCTTCCACACCACCGAGCATAACTCGTGTTTTAACATATTCTTCACCATTCATACACTTGTTTTCGTACCTTTTATCGCTTATGACCTGGTCAACTGGTAACCCTTCCGAATCTTGTTTATTAGTAGCTGCTTGGTGGACGGTTTGTCAATATCCAAAAGAAATTATTATATATGGAACGCATTTATTTATATTAACATGGATAGGTTGGAAGTGGGTTGAAAAGAGTAAAAGTGAAAGACTTGGTAAACCAAGTTCAGCTTCAAAATCTACCTCACAACTTGACTTGAACAAAACAGTTTTAGAGATACACAAGATCTCCGATAAACTATCATCATTTCACGCTTTTATCAATTCAATTCGTTCACAAATTGATTGGACGAATTCTACAAGAACTCAAAAAGTTTTGAGAGGATTAATCTATTCATATCCAATTTGGATAATCTTTACATACTCTGTTTCATTAACATGGGTTTTCATTATTATTGGAACATTTGGATTGGTATGGCATAGTCCATGGTTTAAATTTATTCGATACGTTCTTATGCAATCTGCTTTATTCCGTGGAATTATTAGTTTAATGTTTGGTTACGTCTGGGGAGGGAATATTTTACAACAGGGAGAAAGAGGATTCTCCGTTGGAGCTTTGATCCGTAAAGCAAAGGAGCAACAAACGAAACTTGTGGGTAAAAAAGTCGATAAAGATGAAAATAAAACTTCAACAGATTTGATATTTAGATTTGTATTATATGAGAATCAACGTTGGTGGTTAGGTTTAGATTGGACCACAAATTTATTCCTAAATGAAAGACCTGCATGGTCAGATGAATATAATGAACAAACAAGCCCCAAAAGTTCATTTCAATTACCACCTCCATCGACAGAAATACTTGATGAACCAAATGTTATTATTAAGAAAACCATGGAATGGAAATGGGATGATGATGATTGGTGGATTGATTATGATGGGGATGTTGATAAAGATGGTTGGGAATATGCTGATAACAGATGGAAAGGTTTTTCTTCAAAGAGCGGTTTTAGAAGATATACTCGAAGAAGAAAATGGGTTAGAGCGGCTAGGTTGGTTGAAACGATTGAAAAAATTGATAAAAATGATCAAGATCAAGTTACAAATGGAATCAGCGGTGATGATAATGACAAAGTCATAGGAACATCTAAGGATTTTGAAACTCCAAATGATAGTTCAAGCAACAACAAACCTTTACCTTATATTCAAAGAAAACCAGATGGTAAATTTGACGTTGATGCTGTTTCAAATTCGAGTGGGACTCCGACTAATTATATTTAATGAACTTTTTTTTTTTTTTTCTTAATATAATATAATGATGTCAAATATCCTAACTTTAAATAAATAAATTAATTAAGATTATATTAATTTATAATTATAAAATAATGAATTTTAATGGATGCTCTTCCCACTCGGCTTAAAGATCGAATATACGCTAGGTAAACAACAGTTAAACCGGAATGAACTATTTTATTAATTTTCTGATGTTTGCTTATCACTTGAATCATTTGAATCATTTGAATTAGGCGACTTTTCAGTTGAAGCAATTGTAATCGTTGAGTCATTAACATCCTTTGTCACCATATCTAATTGTTTCCCTTCTTCTTCTTCTTCCTCCTCATCCTCATCATCATCTAGTTCTAAATAAAATTAAATAAAATAATTTGTAATTGTTAAGAAATATTCAAATTAACAAAAAGGTTGCACCAACCTTCACCATACTCTTCAGGATGTTGTTTAAAACAATCTTTCATTTTCTGAAACTGTTCTAGACAATCAACACCCTTTGGTTCAGCTGTAGAGTAAATAAAGCATGAGAATGCCGCTTTAAATTGTTCTCCACAAGTTCCTTTAGCCATTCCTCCAAGACAGGGGCAATCCCAATTAATTTCCCCGGTTTCTGAATTAAATGCATCAGATTGTGACTCTTCACTATCATTTTCTGAAGGAATTAAGGTATCTTGTGAAATTTCTGCATTATCTTGTTGGATGGATGTTTTTTCTTCTACGGACTTTATTTCGGATGAGGAGGACACCGAATCGTCTACAGGTAATGTTTCTTTCGTATATTTTGTTGTTGTAGACATTATTTTTCATCAAAAATTTCTAAACGGAATTAAACGGAAAAATTTTTGACTGGATTTTATAATTTTTTATTAATTATAATAAAATTTCACATGATTTACATCATAGATTTTCCTATTTCATCCATCATGTCGTACGGTACGACGTTTATTTATAAATTTATTTATTTTTTTTTTTTTGAAATTGATTCATAAATTTTTTAACATCCATTAAAAAAAGGAAACAACACAAACAAATTGAACTTAATAAAAAGAAGAAGGGCAAAAATTGCTAAAAGCTTTAGTGATGGGATTAATTTTAAAGTGGACGTGGAAATAGACGCTGAGGTCACATACACATTAAAATCTGCAAAAGATGAGATTTTGATAGACGATCGTTCAAGAAGGCCGGTATTGTTCCGATTTGAAAGCCCTCATTTTGAACCTACTGATCGAATATATTACAAAGTATCTTCTGATCTTATTGAAGAACCACCAGTAAATTGGAATTGGCGTGTCGGAGATATTGATTATTTGTTGGAAATTGAAGATTTAGAAAATGAAGCAAGGGAAGAGAAAGATTTAAGTCAATTGGAAGACTGATCCTCATTAATATTATCAGGGAAAAGGGCTGGATTACTTTAAGACGAAGCGAAGTTTGCTTTTTGGAAATTCCAGCAAAGTTTAGAATATCTCGATTCATGACTTATAGCTTTGCTTTATTTTGGTGTATTTTAAATGTATATTTTGGATATGTTTAAGATTCTAACCAATCAAGAAGTTGTGGTGTATAATAGGTCAAGACTAGGGTTGCGCCTAAAAAAAAGGGGGAGCGAGATTTAATAAAATGTTAAGAAAACACAATAAAAAAAAAACAAAAATTTTTATACCTGCTCTCAAAAATCCTTCCATGCTCTCTAGCACGGCAACACGAAGATCGAACACCTTTGCTTCAGCAGCTCTCCATATCATTGCGAATTCGCCAGACACTTGATAAACAGCTATTGGAACGTCAGGACTAAGTTCTTTGGCGTCACGCAAGATGTCTAAATAGGGCATCCCAGGTTTAACCATGATGATGTCTGCGCCTTCCGCAAGGTCACGTGTCTAAATTTGAAACGTGATTAATAATTGCTCGTTCAATAAATGAAGTGAAAAGTTTACGTACAATGGCACGACGTGCTAAACCACGCGCGTTTGGTGGAAGCTGATAACATTTGCGATCACCGAAGGAAGGAGCCGAATTTGCGGCATCCCTAAAAACATACGTTTAATAAAATTTGATCAATTCGTTGTAGCTTTTTAAATTTCTAAATGCAATAAATCTCTTATGAATTCACCTGAATGGACCATAAAAACTGCTAGCAAATTTCGCACTATAACTCATTAAATTGACTTTGTTAGCAAGGCCTTCCCGAATTAAAGATTCTTTAATCGCTTTAATTCGACCGTCCATCATATCAGACGGTGCCACACAATGTGCTCCTACATAATTTCATCATTTGATTGTTATTTTTACACGTGTAAATCCGAATCAAAAATCAAAGGAACCGACCAGCTTTGGCATAGTTCGTCGCTACTTCAGCTAAACGTTTCACACTGGCTTCGTTATTGATGGTATTATCCTCATTTAAATATCCTATTGACAAAAAAAAAAAAATTTCACAAATGAGATTTGAATACTGAACAGTGTGGCGTAGTAATGAAATATTTACCGCAATGACCATGTGAAGTAAATTCACAAAGACAAACATCACATGCAATGAATAATTGTGGAAATTTAGAACGAATAAGTTTAATCGATAATATTACAGGACCATTTGGATCATCCGCTTTCGATCCATATGGATCTTTCTCACAAGTTGGAACACCAAATATGAGAACCGAAGATAACCCTTTTTCAACAAGAGGTAAAAGAAATCCTTCTAACTTATCAATTCCCCACCTAAGGGGAAAAAAAAAAAAAAAATTTCATCAAAATTCATCCCAACCCTGAATTCAGAGAAAATTCACTACCAATAAATACCTCTTTTGACCGGGTAAGGAGGAAATTTCTTCTTCGGCATTTGATTCATCTGTGACAAAAATGGGATACATTAATGAAGATTTACGTAAAGTACGTTCAGAATGCCATTGTCGTGATAGAGGATGATTGTATCCTCCCTGAAGAATTGATGAAATATCTGACATTTGCTAGAGTAGCTTAATGATGTAATTTCGGATAACTGCTGAAAAGGTGGCGTAAAAACTTAACATGATACACCTGATATTTATAAGATCGTCCAAGAAATTTCCCGCATTAGATCAAATAAAAGAAATGCAATCTCCTTTTGACCAACAATCATTTTTTCTTGCAAATATTCCTCCGTTAGATTTGAACGTGTCAGATACTAATACAATGTCAAAATCAAAAAATATGGCGCCTCGGAATGGTCACTCTTCCCCTTCTATTAACACAGCTTCAACAGGATCTACTACACAACCATTATCACCTCCACCTGTTGATTTTTTATCTTCCACACCACCGAGCATAACTCGTGTTTTAACATATTCTTCACCATTCATACACTTGTTTTCGTACCTTTTATCGCTTATGACCTGGTCAACTGGTAACCCTTCCGAATCTTGTTTATTAGTAGCTGCTTGGTGGACGGTTTGTCAATATCCAAAAGAAATTATTATATATGGAACGCATTTATTTATATTAACATGGATAGGTTGGAAGTGGGTTGAAAAGAGTAAAAGTGAAAGACTTGGTAAACCAAGTTCAGCTTCAAAATCTACCTCACAACTTGACTTGAACAAAACAGTTTTAGAGATACACAAGATCTCCGATAAACTATCATCATTTCACGCTTTTATCAATTCAATTCGTTCACAAATTGATTGGACGAATTCTACAAGAACTCAAAAAGTTTTGAGAGGATTAATCTATTCATATCCAATTTGGATAATCTTTACATACTCTGTTTCATTAACATGGGTTTTCATTATTATTGGAACATTTGGATTGGTATGGCATAGTCCATGGTTTAAATTTATTCGATACGTTCTTATGCAATCTGCTTTATTCCGTGGAATTATTAGTTTAATGTTTGGTTACGTCTGGGGAGGGAATATTTTACAACAGGGAGAAAGAGGATTCTCCGTTGGAGCTTTGATCCGTAAAGCAAAGGAGCAACAAACGAAACTTGTGGGTAAAAAAGTCGATAAAGATGAAAATAAAACTTCAACAGATTTGATATTTAGATTTGTATTATATGAGAATCAACGTTGGTGGTTAGGTTTAGATTGGACCACAAATTTATTCCTAAATGAAAGACCTGCATGGTCAGATGAATATAATGAACAAACAAGCCCCAAAAGTTCATTTCAATTACCACCTCCATCGACAGAAATACTTGATGAACCAAATGTTATTATTAAGAAAACCATGGAATGGAAATGGGATGATGATGATTGGTGGATTGATTATGATGGGGATGTTGATAAAGATGGTTGGGAATATGCTGATAACAGATGGAAAGGTTTTTCTTCAAAGAGCGGTTTTAGAAGATATACTCGAAGAAGAAAATGGGTTAGAGCGGCTAGGTTGGTTGAAACGATTGAAAAAATTGATAAAAATGATCAAGATCAAGTTACAAATGGAATCAGCGGTGATGATAATGACAAAGTCATAGGAACATCTAAGGATTTTGAAACTCCAAATGATAGTTCAAGCAACAACAAACCTTTACCTTATATTCAAAGAAAACCAGATGGTAAATTTGACGTTGATGCTGTTTCAAATTCGAGTGGGACTCCGACTAATTATATTTAATGAACTTTTTTTTTTTTTTTCTTAATATAATATAATGATGTCAAATATCCTAACTTTAAATAAATAAATTAATTAAGATTATATTAATTTATAATTATAAAATAATGAATTTTAATGGATGCTCTTCCCACTCGGCTTAAAGATCGAATATACGCTAGGTAAACAACAGTTAAACCGGAATGAACTATTTTATTAATTTTCTGATGTTTGCTTATCACTTGAATCATTTGAATCATTTGAATTAGGCGACTTTTCAGTTGAAGCAATTGTAATCGTTGAGTCATTAACATCCTTTGTCACCATATCTAATTGTTTCCCTTCTTCTTCTTCTTCCTCCTCATCCTCATCATCATCTAGTTCTAAATAAAATTAAATAAAATAATTTGTAATTGTTAAGAAATATTCAAATTAACAAAAAGGTTGCACCAACCTTCACCATACTCTTCAGGATGTTGTTTAAAACAATCTTTCATTTTCTGAAACTGTTCTAGACAATCAACACCCTTTGGTTCAGCTGTAGAGTAAATAAAGCATGAGAATGCCGCTTTAAATTGTTCTCCACAAGTTCCTTTAGCCATTCCTCCAAGACAGGGGCAATCCCAATTAATTTCCCCGGTTTCTGAATTAAATGCATCAGATTGTGACTCTTCACTATCATTTTCTGAAGGAATTAAGGTATCTTGTGAAATTTCTGCATTATCTTGTTGGATGGATGTTTTTTCTTCTACGGACTTTATTTCGGATGAGGAGGACACCGAATCGTCTACAGGTAATGTTTCTTTCGTATATTTTGTTGTTGTAGACATTATTTTTCATCAAAAATTTCTAAACGGAATTAAACGGAAAAATTTTTGACTGGATTTTATAATTTTTTATTAATTATAATAAAATTTCACATGATTTACATCATAGATTTTCCTATTTCATCCATCATGTCGTACGGTACGACGTTTATTTATAAATTTATTTATTTTTTTTTTTTTGAAATTGATTCATAAATTTTTTAACATCCATTAAAAAAAGGAAACAACACAAACAAATTGAACTTAATAAAAAGAAGACGGCAGATTTATTTATTTAATTAGTTAACCTATCTACAACCATTACATCATAAAAAAAATAAAAGATTTTGAAATTAACAAATCTATTAATTATTGTTATCAAAATGATTTCGAAGGTGTTTCTATTCCTTTACGACTTTCAAAGAATTGTTTGTTAATCGTGATCAACTATTTAAATTAGAATTAACAAAAAAAAAAGTTAAATTCAAAAAATTTTATACTCGAGAATACCCATTTATTAAAAAAAAAAAAAAAAAAATTACCTTTGGATTTTCATGTTGTTTAATATTATTCCAAGGTTGTTGTGGACCGAACCTACTAATAACTACTTCAGGGCTTTTTACTAAAGTGTATCCAGCATATCTATTCAAAATAATGATATTATTTTTTAGGAAAGGAGATTTTGATTCACTTTTTTCAAAGATGATTATTAACTTACGTAATACCAGCGGTAACACCACCTGCGGCAGCTAGTATAAGAGGGATAAGCTATACAAAAAAAAAAAATTGTTTTGTTATTACATTCATACTTTTTGGTGAAATGAAATAACAACCACTTACAGCCGGATTTTGTCTAAAGAAAGCAGTTGCCATATTTTTATAATATTATAAGATTTTATATTTTCGTTAAGAAATTGAGGAATTGTAATATTAATAATAAAGGTGATGCTTAAGAATTTACTCGAGTTTTGTTGGAGGGATTTCAAAAATGCAAGATAATTTCCTGTCTCCTGTATCCTACACTTCGATTTTATGACGCTTCCTTTTATAGGATTTTTCCAATCGATAATTTGAAACATTTTGGATAAATTGGATTGATCATCTATGTAGAACTTTATTGAAATTTTTTACCCAAGCACACAGCCTTTTTATCTATTTTAGATATTAAAATTTTCCCAAGTACAACTTTTTTGTATGGGAAAATTATTAGGACTTGATCATATGCACTTTTCCTTTTTTCCGAATTCCCTTTTTCTGATTATTCATTTATCTTATTTTGTATTACAAGAATAAATTCTATGTTGATCACAAGATATTATAGATAAGAAAGTTTATTTGATAGCTTATCAATCTTAATATCTTAATAAAATATTATTATTAAGGAAGATCCGTTATTTATTAATAAAAATTTACATAATAAATACTAATAAAATTAAAAATAATTATAAAAAATTTTCTTTTAATGGATTGTTATTAAAATTTATAATTTCTTATAACTTATATTTTTTTATTGATATTAAATAGTCTTTTAGATTTTAATAAATTGAAGTTTTCTATATAAATCAACTTATTAAGTTATCTAATAGAAAATTTTAATATCATAATATTACAAAAATTGCATAAAAATTTTTTTATAAAAAAATATCATTAATTTACATAGAATTTATTAGATTCATATGCAAATTCAAATGTTATATAATTTAAAGGCAAATAATACATATATATATAGTATGTGATATTTAATTTTATAAGTTTTTATTATCAAAAATTGATAAATATTTATATATAATTAAGTTAAAATATATTATACAAAAAGTAATCATAAATATTTAAATAATAAGTATTTTTATTTATTTTGTTTATATTATTTATGTGCATTTGTCTAATTTAAAAATTTATTTAAGTTATATAAATAATATTCAAAAATTTTGATATGTATCAAATCAAAACTATTTAAATCTATTGAAATTTATTTTCAAAACTATAGAAGTTAAAAAGTTAACTTTATCAAAATAAAATTAAAGATTTTATTTTACAATCTTAATAGTAATTGAAGATAAAGTAATAAAGTATTATATTTATTTTTTATATTTATAATAAAATATGTAAAAAAAATTCAAAAACTGGATAATATTTAAAGATAGCGCTGCAACTAGTTGCAACTATGTGATACTTATTTGTCACCAGTTACAACTAGTTGTAACTCAATTTTTATTAATGTTGCAACCCTGTGATGCTTATTTGTCACTGGTTGCAACTAGTTGCAGTGTCATCTTTAATAATACTCTTATAAGAATATTATTTAGTTGTGATATAATGTTATCTAGTTACTGTTTTTACTGTTTTGTGACCATTTTATTATTTTATTGATATCCATTTATTTTTTATTATCTTCTAGCTATCCGCTTGTTTTTATTGCTCTGCAATCTTTTTGTGATTAAGATGCTAGGCTGACATTAATTGCTAAAAATCATATTGTGATCAGGTGAGTGGAATACCACCATATAATATAATTATATTATATAGTGGTATCCCACTTGCCTTAGATTATATTATCACTATATAATCTGAATACCACTATATAATCTAAATATCATCATATAATCTGAGTACCACTATATGATTTAAATACCACTATATAATCTGAGTACCACCATATGATCTAAATAATATAATCTAATTATCACTATATAATCTAAATAATATAATTTAATTATCACTATATAATCTATTTATTTTTACGTATCAGGTATCTTTTTATATTTTAGCTATCCTTTTAAATATTTCTTGTTATATGTATTTTTTACCACCATATAATCTAATTACCACCCACTATTTAACCTAACTACTACTATATAATCTAAATATCATGCTTTTCTTCTTATTTTTGAGTCGTTTATATGTTAAAATTTATAATAAAGTTGTTGGTCCTCTGTAGCTATTTGGATATCTGATTTTATGTTAAGGATGCTGACTTCCTGCATCTGGTTGGATGCTAGATTCTATATTGGAGTGCTTATCCTTTGCGCCTATTTGGTTGTCTTTCTAGATATCAAAATATAGTAAAAAAATATAGTATCAGGTAGCGCAGTAAATTCGTGGTTAATTTCAGCTGGTACTTTACTATAATTTCAGCCAATCTTTTAGGCATGTTATTCGAGAATCTAGCTTGACACTATGATGGTGACTTGATAGTATCCTGAAACTATGATAGAGCTATCATAGAACTAGTAAGGAACTATCATAGAAGTGTTATAGAACTAGCGGTTTGTCAGCTTAGATGTCAAGTTATTATGTTTAAGGATCTGATCAAATTTATATGCTGACTGAAATTGTGAAATAATGTTGGCTGATTTTATATTACGCCTTACTGTATCAATTACGTGATCCTATTATAGTACTGAAAACCTTTTCATAGTTACAAGCTAGTAATGGAAACATTCTCAGAATATTTCTGAAACTCAATATATATACATTTGTGCCACATATTTTTTGTATCAAAATCTTCCTAACACTCTCAAGCTCCAGTTTGGTGATTGGTTAGTTAGTAGAGAATTAGAGATGTAATATATACTATCTTAGTCTGACCTATTTGATTATCAAAAAAGTACATCATCTTGCAACCTAATTATTGTGCCGGTATATGTATGTCGATTTCGTATTCATAATTAGAGGTGTATTATATATTATCATGGCTGACCAAAAAGTGCGCCATCTTGTAATCTTACTATTACCTATTTATTGCTAGTATAATTATGCCAATTTCGTATTCTGAAATTTGAATCATTAGAACACATTTATAATGTATTTTTAGCACTTTCTTAAGCACATTAGGATGTAAAATAGGATGGATTTTTGTTGTTCCTAGCTATCACTAGTATCACCAGTTAGTATTCAAAATTAGTGACAGAACTAGTGATGGGTTTGTTATCTTTTTTGAGATTATTAGGCTATTTTATTTCTTTCTTGATTAGTGTCACTAGTATCACTAGTAAAAAGTAGTAATTTCTAGGAAAAAATCAAAATTTTTCTATGCTATCCCTATGATATATATGAAATATAATATGATGAATCTATAGTATATGTGTGATATATGTATGTATGCTAAAAAAATAAAAAAGTTAAGAAATTCAGATTTTTTCCAGTAAGAGTAGTGACATCAGTAACACTCATTAAGAAAACTTTCTTTCAGTCTAGAATTCCTAAAAAGTCTATCATTTGCATCATTAGTTCTGTCATGAGTTTTTTTTTCTGTGACACTAGTGACAAGTTGTATTATTTTTATTTACCTCTAAATTACCTACCAGTATCTACGTCAAAGCCAATTTAGCCTGCTTTTTCTAATGATAATGTTCTCTCAATCTATGTTTTTTTGCATATGTATCACAATAGTTATATCTGAATCTTATCAGTTCACTGCATTCTTTACAAGAAACTTGCCTAGAATTCTGATAGACTTTGGATCATAGCATCTCCGATTGCATACTTTTTCAATCCTAAGAATATATAAACAATAATAAAAATTCCAGGATAGATCCTTCTGGAATTGTGTCTCCTTTTTTCTGCCTCCTATTTGTATATATCTATTAATAATGTCAGAGAATTATTTTCATTTTAAACTTTTTTTTGCGAATAATATACCTCGAGTTTTGGTATAACTATAAATTATCTTAAATTGTTTGAAAAAAATG